GGGGGGGGGGGGGGGGGGGAGCATACGGCACACGGAGGTCTGCGCTCAGCTTTCCTCACAGGGTTAGATACGAGGCCTCGGACTCACCTCGAGCAGCCGTGGGTTCGAATCCTGCCTGTTGCTTCCTAGCGGTACGGCCTGGAGTCATTCCCGTGGGCCTCAGTGTGCTCGTCGTTAACATGCGGGTGGTCACCGCGCTCACTCGATGGCGCTGTCCGGGAAGTAGGGGTCAGAGCAGGGGAGAGCCTGGCACACGGCTGACGGGGGCGAGGGCTCGGCATGGTGGTCCGTGCTGTTCCTCATCACGCGGCCGCAACGCGCCTGGGAGGCCCTGGCCCTGTGGGGTGAGGACCAGGCTCCGCGGTCGCATGCGGTTTCAGTGCCGCATGGTCACAGCATCGCCCCGTGGGAGGGGAAGGGCTTGCCGTCCACGCCCAGCGCCGACGGTGTGGTCCGTGGTGTGGTCCGTGGTGTGCTGGGTTTGTATGAACCCAGGAAACGTCGAGAGCATTGACCCCAAGGGGAGGGAGGTCGGGCCTTGGCCTCCCGGCAGGAGAGGAGCCGGAGGGGGGACAGGAAGGAGGCCGGGTCCGTGCTGCCCGCTCCTCGCTGTCCCAGGAGAGCTCCCCGGCGGCGACAGTGCGAGGGGAACAGGCAGCGCCAGCTCCAACCGCCTGCGGCCGAGCCCGCCTTTCGTCTGCCACTTCCCTCGTCCGCGCCGTGGGGATGGCTCCTGCTCTCTGAGCTGTGGTCAGGCTCACGCGGGCGAGGGAGGCAGGCAGTGCCCCACGGGGGGCAGAACAGGCCCTCGGCGTCAGCTCGGGGTTCCACCCTGATGCCCCCCGGGCCCTGAAGCAGCTGTTCAAGCTGAACTCACCACGGTTCCTGAAACCCGCCCCTCATCGCATCCCGACGTCCAGGAATGGCCGGGCGCAGTCCGTCTCCATCGGTGTGTCAGGCAGCTGGCGGGAGGGCGGCGGGCGGTCACCGGGTGTTTGTGTATCTCACGTCCGAAGGGGTCGTACAGGCGCCTCTGCCTCCGCTCATACAGCTGCAGACCAAGTCGGTGTAGCTCCTTGTCATCTCCGGTCGGTCTCCTCCTGCCGCCGGCTGTGGCTGTCTCCGCTCGGCCCGTCAGCTC